GGGGGTTTCAGTTGGGAAAATATTTGTGATTGTAACTGAAGATAATTTAATTACTCATAATGAAGATTTGATGATGATTTAATAATGTAATCCATCTGAACCACACAATGTACACAATTTATGTATCTGAAGGAATAATAAGAAGTTGTAATGTAACACACACGTGTGTCGTGAGGGCAGATTTCCATTCATGGGGCCATCTGCTGCATTTGTTCATGTGATATTACTCAGCCAGAGGAAAAGAGATTCCTATGCCTTTGTTTTCCTTCAACAGTATGTGGTCCTTCTGTCATTCACACACAGAAACGAATAGTTAAATAAACAAAATTAAACTTAGTAAACCCATACTGGCACTCAACAATACCAAACAAAAAATCTAAACTTGCACAAGTAAATCCACCTTAGAAGCCACTTGAAATGAAATGATGTGTTACATTCTACACTGCTATGCTTGTGCAGGTTTGGCCTCCAGTATGAATCCATGGTCAAGAAAACTGTAATGGGACTTGTAACAGCTGTTGAAATGCTGGTGTTTCACCACTAGGGGGAGCTCTTGTGATGCTAATGTCATTAATAAAACCAGAGTGGTAAATCAGTCGAGTGTCTCTTGGCATTCAGCATTTAATTGCATTTTTTGTTATTCAAACTTAAAAATGTTTGCTCCTGCCATTCAGCAGGAGCGGGAGGTAAACAAGAGAAGGGAGATCTGCTGTTGCCATTAAAACAAACCTAGATAACTCACTTAAATATTATGATCTCAACTACTCAGAAGCTAAGTGTATGAGGAGAGGACTCAGCAGGCAGTGGATCAGAACCACAGATCTCTGACTAAAACAGACCCTGTACTGTGGCCTGATTTGAATTTCAAATGTGCAAACAAAGTTTCTCCTCTGCTGTTATCTCTCATCTTATCTGTGTGTGATTGTAAGTTATCTCTAGCTCTCATTTGAAGAGGAGAGATGTTTATTTATGGACTTCTATTTATGTGAGAAACGCTCTTCAATCATATTTAATAAAAACAGAGTGGTGAATCAGAGGAGGAGCGTCTCTCAGCATTCATCAGCACTGCTACACACACACACACACACACACACAGCAGACTATTTAATCCCGTCTCATCATGTCTGGAATGCCGTTCAACCATTTCTTACAAACCCTTGAGACTTCATGACACTTCATAATAAAAATGACTACATGATGTTTGCTAGTCACGGGTTAACAGTCCTTGCTGGGCAGCCTGCTCTTTTTGTGTCTGTGCGTGTTTTCATCTCTCCGTCTGCCTCTGTCTCTCCCTGGGTTTATGTTTTCAAGGAGGTGCACACTTCCGGAAGCAAATACCACAAGGCCTCAGAGCAGGAATGATATATTTATTGGTTTTAAACTAATATAAGGACAGTTCTGTATCCATGAATATCATTAATCAACATGTCTCTGGGTTTTCCTCTTTCTGCGTTGCATATCCTCTTGTGCATCAGTCATAGTGCTTAGTTGGCCTCATCATTATTTTTAGCCTGACATGTGCTACAGGTTTGCAGTGTTCATCATGTAAATGACACATTCACTTGATATCAACACCACATTATTACAAACAACAGCAACAGCATCACACACACACTGTAATGCATTGACTGCTTTCCTGCAGGGAGTTTCTACACTGTTTCTTAGTTTACGTTAAAAAACAACATGTGCAGTACAATTTCTTCCCTTGTTCAGTTCATTCACTTCTCTGTCTCGACAAAGGAAAACTTTCATTTAGTTAATGGATAAGAAATGGAAATCCAGTCTTCATAATAACACAGCTGCCGTGCAAACAGACTCACATTCAAACTGCTGTCACTTTGTTTCTGAATGAAAAACATGCTGCATTTGTGTTGGTGTTTGTGTTTTATTCTCAGTCATTACAAAACTACATTATTTAGCTGATAACATTTTAAACAAAGTTGGTGATAACAAGCAGCTGAACCAGCGCTGAGGTTTCAGCATGATGCTGTGTTTATTTAGACGCACTGCCGACAATTATTGTTCACAGAAAAGTGTCTAACTGCATAATTAAACAATTAAACCATACTAGGTATGGTTCCTATGCGCAAATTTTCATGTATTTATGTATTTAGTTCAGGTTCAACATTGAAATCAGGTGAAACAGTGTCAAAGGTTAAAATGCTTTAATAAGTCATAAATCACGGAGGAAACCTCATAATATGAGAAAACAAACAAGCCCATGAACAACTGTACTCTGATCCACTTCATATGCTTCATAAGCAGGTGTGATGCAGCAGTGTCATGAAGGTTTATTTATTTACAATGTTTGAATGTTCAGTCATCTCTTGCTGAATCACTGAATTTGTAGTATTATTAATTCATATTTGGGATACAGGAGTTATTATAAGTCATTCTGAAAAAGGCTCTAAGAGAGAAAAATAAAGTAAAGCTGTAATGTAGAGGCTAAGCCTGGGTTTGAAGTCAGTGAGGTGTTTGATGGGCTGACGCGATGTTATTGTTGTGAATGAAAGTTGTTGTATGGGGAAAGTCCAGCCATACTGATCTTATGAGCTCAAGCATTTATTGCTTACCATGGATCCCATGTCACAGTTCATCATCCAATATAAATCAGCATAGCCGTCACAGACAGGACCAACAACAGCCTGATTTAATGTTCCTACCTTAAATACAATTATTTACAAAGAAAAAGGAAAGAAAGTCATAAAGACATAAGTTGATAAAGAAAGGACGAAAATGGAGAAAGTTAGTTTCGTTTTACAAGAAATGGGGGAGGGTTGGGCTCCACCTACTCTGTAGCAATTTGTCAGAACTGATTCACTTTTTTTTTTCAGTTGACAAAAGAAAAAACAAATAAACAAGTGAGCTCATGCTACACATGCTATCAAAGAACATTCAAATAAGACTGACTGACTCACAGCCCTGATCCCACATTTAGTTCTTTAAACCATTTTATCGAGTTACTGAGTTCATGAGTTGCTGCTTGTAAAACAAATTACAGGAAAAGAAAAGAACAGGTTCAAACTGGTAACGCAAACCATTGTTAAAACTGACCCGACCACATTGTTAACATCCACAGTTTTCCTTCAGGCTGTTAAATGTTCTTTGGATTCTTAAAGACTTGAATAATGAGCTTGTTTTAAAACAAACAAACAAAAACAAAAACGATTACATTCATGTCTGTTGTGTCTTAAAACTGCTTCCTCAAACTGAACAGTGGTTTTAATGAACCTGAACACAAACCACAACACTGGCTTGTTAGGAGTTGTGCAGGTTACATTTTAATTGCATTTTCTCTGTATCGTGGTTAAAGGTCAATATTCAGGTTTATTAGCAGCTTTGAATGGATTGAATCATGATGTAAAGTTATGGCTTCACTTAGCCTACACGTCTAACCTGCATGAGATCTCAAATATATTAGTAATACATAATTTATTCTCACCAGATAGTTATAATATGACAGTCTAAAAAAGTTATATTCATTGTATTAAGAACATGTTTGTCCTTGCCATTGTTGAGCAAGTTTGACTAGTGTGATCACTGATGTTGTTCCAGGTAGAAATTAAACTGTGTGGGCACAGCTGTCACTCCTGTGTAGTGTGCACACTGAGTACGATCCTCTTTCTCTGTAGAAACCTAGACACTTAGCATGTGAGACATTAGTGTGGCATCACTGCCCTTATAAAAGACCAGAAAAAGATGAAGACACAGACATTTTGTTGGGGCTGAGCTGAAATAAAAATTCAGTCACTTTAGATCAAAAGATCTTTACTTTTCTTTAAAGAACATGAAAGATTTGAAAAAAAGAGCTTACAAAGTTTCAACACCTGGACATTGTTAATAACACAGAGAATGAACTTTGACATCATTTATTTCTTCATTATTTGATCATTTACAGAATATAAAACATTATGATCTTTTCTGATCTGCTTCTGGCAGCTGAGAATCCCTGAAAAATGTGTCATGGTCTGTTTGTATTCTGCTCTTATAATTTCTGAGAATTATGTGTAATAATGTATCAATACAATAAAGAAACAGAAACAAACTAATGAGAACATTTAATAACAATGAATGTCTAATGTTACTGATCACAGTGTTACCTCTGTGATGAGGAGGCACCTGTCAGACTAGTTGATCTGTTTTCTATAAAAACAATGAAATGACAGTAGATAGATTTTCATGTATCCAGTGCTAAAGCTGAAATAGACTGATTCAATTTTCTACTGAAGCTTCATTAACCGATAGCAGAAGGAACATTAGTTGGACATTTTGTAATGAGGCAAATAAATAGGTTATAAAGCATGAGGTAGATAAAATAGTACTGTAGTAATCTGAAAGCTCAACTGTCAGATTTTAGATCAAAAAAAGAACAACAGCAGCAACTGAAAGACCAATGACGAGTCCAAAAGATCCATCCTCCTTCCCTCCATCGTCTGGGTTTTCTCCTGTCTGACCTGCAGGTGAGAAACAGGTGTGAGGTGTCAGCTGTCAGGTAGGTGATGAGTGAAGAACAGAACAGAATCCATTTCCTCTTCAAACTGCTGTCAGACATTATCTACTGCACTCTGATCACATCACTCAGACCAGCTGCTTTCTACAAAGTCTCATCAACAACATCTTTAGAAACAAACATCAACAACCAGGAAGCAGCTTCACCTCTGATCACACACACACTCAACTCTACTCACTCACCTGGAGGATCAACAACAGTCAGGGTGATGATGCTGATGGGGGGAGTCTTCAGATTAGCTCTCTTCCTGCGGTTTGTTCTTCTCCTGAAGACACGACACTCGTATGTTCCAGCATCATCAATCGTCACGTCCTTCAGAATCAAAGACACGTCTCCATCCTTCATCTCTCTGTCCTGCAGGTCCACCCGGTTCTTAAAAGATGCATGCTGGTGATCTGGATCCAGCTGCTTATCCCGGTACATTAGGACACTTTCTTTGCCCAGGTCAGCTCTGCTCCACTCTACCACTATGATGGGGATGTTGTTGTCTCGAGCTCGACACGGCAGAATGACGTTCTGTCCAGCTGTGATGTTTTTCTGGTCTAAAAGAGAGAAAGTGACACAAAGCAGAGAGGTTAAAGGGATCAAAGTACAATTACTAACTTCTGGAGCTTTGAAATCACAATCATAGAAACAATTAGGTTCAAAACTAAAGTGACCATTTTGCTTTTTTCTGGTGGGGTGGTGAAAAAAACCCCTCTTGTTCACACTTTTACTAAATAGTAGTTGGTAAGTAAACTAGAAGTAACTACAACACAAATATCACAAAATAGAAGTGTTGTAAACATACCACAGTCAAACTCCTGCTTTAACAAATAAAGGATGGGCTGTTCGCTTTAGTTCCTAGCACCTCTCTGCTATGCTGTCACCCTGGGAGATAACTACATCAGTCAGCTATGTGCAAGGTCTGCTGGGTAATGTAGTTCCAATAAGATATAGGGCCTTTGCTACACAACAAACATAATAACTGTTCGATGGCACAAACCTTCTGCAGCCAAATATGAATAAGACTGAGGTAGTTGTCATTGGCCGCTGTGTATGCAGCGCACTCACAAACACACCTGAGCTCCTGATCTATAAAACTGGACCAATAATGTAAAATCCTCACAGTCATTTCTGATAACAACCTCGACTTAAGTAAGCATGAACAAATCTAGTAATCTGCTTTCATCTTCTCTAGATTAGATCACTGTAATGGCTGAGTGCATAGCAAAGTCAGCGGCCCCATGTGAGGGGGAAGGTTTGACGGTATAGTGTCGCGGCCAGGAGGGTCACCTGAACGCTGATCAGCGGTTTCTATCTTTCTCTCTCTCCTCCTTTCTGTCACCGGGGCAGAACTCACTGTGGGTTCATGCCCTCGGCCCTTGGAGAAAGGAAACACCTGAGCCTCATCAAGGTGATCAGCATATAAGCCAGAAGATGACTGCTGTTCTTTGCTGGATCGTTGTTAGTGAACGTCAAGCCACAGCAAGTTAAGTGGAGTGTTTCTTTGTACTTTGTATTTACCAACGTCTCCCTGTCTACAGACTTCCTGGATTCTTCCCCGTGTCATTCCCGAGTGGCGAGTGTTGGAGAGAGAGCCTGCTGTCGTGTGTGTGTGGATTGTTTGGATTGCGCGTGCCTCCCCCTGGATTTCCCTGGAGCCTCATCCCCACCCTGTTGTACATAACACTTCCCCTGCACCTTCTGTACACCTGGTGGACTTGGAAATAAAACTTTCTTGCGTACATCTGATCCTGGAGTTCTGCGATTGAGTCCTCCACGTCAAAACCGTAAAATACTGTATAGGCTCATGTGATGTGTTGAGGAATTTTCTTTGTGAGTTTGGTCAAGGTATAAAAGGATCAGGGCGGTTGCCCATCAGGGAAAGAAACCTTCTCTTCCCTCAGCCTGATTTGTATAAATCGTTTTTCTGTCACCTCGCTTCGTTCGTCTCCCCTCCGACGCCTTTCACTTTCTCGCTTAAATAAATAAATAAAACCTGCACAGAAAAGGAACTGATGTGTTTCTGTAACTCATCATACACATGCTTTTCAACAACAACGTTCGCACAAACTACGGTGCAAGAAAATCATACAGATCATACGTGATCAAGATGGCGCTGAGTATGGCAGCCTCGTCGCGAGCTCCCCCGCGTATACTATTATATATTGTAAATATATTTATTAGTTTCAGATGTAGCCATTCTTGTATTTTGCTTGTTTACGTTATTGTATTCTGCACAACTCTGTTGCTTGTGAAGCTCACACACAAGAATTTCACTCACATGTGCTGTACCAATGTACCTGCACATGTGATGTGACAATAAAAGTGATTTGATTTGATTTAGAAACATAAAAGTCCACAGATTACACAACTCCAACTTTGTGTTTCATCACACCTAGTGTTGATGTTTCATATCGACACTGCTCTTGATAAGGAAGCCATCTTAAATCGATCGAAATGTGTCACATGACAACCATCTTACAGGTGGTTTAAGATGGCGCCGTCTTAAACCACCTGTGTTTGTCTTTTTTTCCTCTTTATAAGGGAACAAAAACAACAACAAGTGTAAACAAATCGACTTAGTGGCTGGAACATGACAGAAAATATAAAAGGAAAACTAATGAATAATTAAAAACATGACTATGTAAGAATTATCACTGATTTGCATGAAATTGTTCAAAAACTGTTTGGCTGCTTTTTAATTTTCCAGTTCTTTGATTGTGGTGCTGTATGGTAAAAGTTGTCGACATAAGTGGTTGTTAATCTGTCTTGATATGAACTTTTGTCAGGAGCAGCAGAGGTTTTCCGTGTTTCATTGTCTGATGTAGAGAAACGCCGCACAACAAACAACAACACTGCAATTCTGCAGTGCTTGAAACCTTTTTTTTTTGTTTAATCTTTTCTATTTTTATATTAACCTTAAAATTGAGGTTTTTTTCCCGGTTGTGAGCTGTAAGTCTCCGTCCCTGAGAATATCAGATTCAGATCCCTCTTAAAAACATATTGTTTATAAACAGACATTTTCTGTGTCTCCCCTTTGCTGTTTTTGTGTTATAAGCATTTAAATGTAATGTAATAATTTTACACCTGCTCATTACCGTGTCCACGTTTAACGGATAACGTGGACACAGTTAACGTCACCCGTGTCCACGTTGTGGTAGCGTACGACAAACTCAAATCAGCAACAGAATTGAGGTTTATGATTTTTTTTCACATAATTGTTAATATGCATGATGGTGTTTATATCTGCTCTATGACCATTTGAATTGCTTTTAATTTTATTCTATATTTTAAAACCTTTGACAGCCGGTGTGATATTAAAACCGAACGATGAACCCTCGATTGTAATATAAAATGTATATCAACATAATAATTTAATCAATTTAAATTAATCAGTTTACCTAAGTGACCTTTTTTCTACATGATGTTTTTCCGTTATCGCTGCTTAGATGTTTGAGTTTATGTGTGGTTGCTTCTCTGTTTTGTGAAATGTTTTGCTTTTGAACAACGATGTCGTTAATAATGATATTATTAATAATAGTGTTAACATCATCAACAACAGCAATAATAATAATAGTAATGATAATAATAATAATAAAAACTATTTGTTTTAAAAAGGTAGCCCTAGAAGCATGTATACTGTTACGACCACATGTCATCATCACTGGTTAAACACGCAAAGTGCTCAGTTTACATAAGCCTGAACATTTGCTAAGTTTACCTTTATGGACGGACGCCTGCAGTACTCCAAACAGCAGAGCCCAGAGCAGTCCAATACGAAGAATATCCATCATACTTTCTCTGCCTCGATAAACCATCAAAGATCTGTGTATCACGGAGAGTGACAATCAGTGTTGTCCGTAAAGCCAAAGTCTTCCTTAATGTGGACAGCTCACAAACCACTGTTTACAAACTAAACGGGCCTCGTGTAATAAATGTAGCCTAGATCAGGAATTGGATTGGCCCATTGTTTTCATGGGATCTCATGTGATCTCATCTGTCGTCAGCTGTGTTGTGAATATGGTGACCGGTCGGTCGAGTTTGTTCTGTTGTTCCTCTGTAAGCAGCCACGGAGAAAAGGGAAGTTGTAGTGAAGTAACGCAGAGCAGTGAAGAGAAACTGAGTCTTAGGAACAATGAAGCGTCCACTGCAGCTTCTGTCTCGGCTTTTCCTAAATATCGATCTATGAAGTTGTTGTTTTGTTATTTGCTGATTGTCTTTAGATGACATACGTAGTAGGTCAGTAGCTGCTACCTGTGACTGTCAGGTCCCAGCTAAATTCACAGCAGAGCACAGTTGAAGGTTCAACGTTCAGGTTTACCAGCTTTAACCAGGCGTCCCTGTTTGCCTCACATTAGCTGTGAAGCTCGCACTGTGAACTAAGCAGGTCAAAATAAAAGGAAAACAGTGACAATGAAAACAATTTAAACAATTTAAACACAACCTCACCATTAATCTCCCTCCATCGTCCGTGGAGGGACGCAGTTGTTCCACTGTCTCCTTTAGCTCCATTTAAAGGTCTTCAGTATATTTCAAATATATCTGATAACTTAAATATAATCTCCAAATCTAAAGGTATGAAAAAGCACTGAGGGTGCTTATTGAGCCACTGCGGAAAGTCCCCAATGCTCACTGTGTGTTATAGCTCAAATGTTCTGGAGGAGTGGTTCTCGCTGCCACACCCAGTCCTCCTGGTACGAAGGATCTAAGCAGAGCACATAAAACAACAACCAAGCCAGAGATTTTCCATGTTTGAGGTGACCAAATACTTATTTTCCACCCTGATTTACGAATAAATTCTTTACAAATCCTACCATGTGGATTCATGGATTTTTTTTCACATTCTGT